TCTAAATCATAGTGTCCCAGTTTGCAAAACAAGCGCTAGACGGAGAAGATACGACTCAATTCAAGGAAGGCGGTCATGACGAAGACACAGGGCGACAATGCATGAAACAAGACTTACTTTTGGGCAGTGATGTAAAGGGTTATATATAAGCTCAGATTTTGTTTATCTTTACTATGAAATTCACACATAATATGTAAATGCGCAGTGCGGGTGCGAACCCCCCCAGAATCCTCACCTTATCGCGGTAAGGCGAAGTAAGTGTCCTGGCAAGAGGTGCACATCAGGTAGGGTCACAGAGTTGGAGGTAACCTGACCCATTAAGGGGGCTACGATGTGAAGCATAGTGGAAGTAGGAGCCCTATGTGGATCGGGTGTGCAGTCTGACCTATTAGAGGGCTGCACACTTGTGGCGAAAGCAGCTCGGGCGAGTCAGGATGCAAAAGGATGTCCGGTGATAGCGTACTCTCTCTATCAAAAACGGGTGTCACCCAGCGAGGGGTGCTCCGGAGTATCCGATGGCGACTTGAGAGCCTATACCGGTACTCGGGAGGCTAGGATCCCACAGGAGTTTATCTTCGATTCCTGCCCCGCCTATGGGTGTTGGACTCGAGGTGGCAGTTGGGTGCAGCCCGCATGCTGGGTTAAGGCGCTGTGCAGCGGATCGCCCTGTTCGTTGTGTAGTCCCTGTATTGAACGATTAAGGGTGAGATAGGCCTGAATTGAGGAGTTGCACGCTTCGTCAACCTTCAGTAGCTTCCTGGGACCAATTCGTCTGACGGAGAGTAAACCCCAGGGAGTCCCCCATTTCATCATGGCTCAGCTGTGTTAGTTTGACGTGTAGATTTGCCATGACATGGTAAGGGGCCGCACGTGAAATCTCCATTAGTTGTATGTGTGCGAAACATTGACGATGAGCGCGGCGGAAAAGGAAAGGTTAGAAGCGTTGGAAATGTGGTGTTACAGGCGAATGATGAGGATACCGAGGATAAGAAGGTTAGAAATGAAGAGGTATTAAAAAGGATAGGAGAATAGAGGACTCCATGGAAATCAATAAGAAATAGACGAGATAGGTTAGTAGGACACCTTCTCAGGCATGAAGATCTAGACAGAGACCTATTAGAGACAGAAACAGGAGTTCAGAGGTGTAGAGGTAAACCTATATGAGATTACTATTCGCAAATAATTAAGGATGTAGGATGTTATAGATTTAGGGAAGTGCGTGTCTAACCAGTCTTAGGACTTCTCGAAATATCAGCAATATTAGATGAAAAATGCCATTATGCTGGGATATTTAAACCCAAAAATGCAGACAACTCTTCCTGTATTTCGGATTGACTAATCGAACGACGTGTACCTTCTGGTTTTCCAATCATGATAAATACATGGCCGCCAATAATTCTCGTTAAAGGTAACTCGTATTGGGGCGAACGTGAATGTCAGTTAATTTATTACCAACCGCCACTGCTGCTACTGCCGTGTCTCTAACTTTCTACCGGTAATTATGCTACCGAGCAGCTAACCAGCGATCCGTGTGCTAACGATAGGTGACATTCAAATTAAAACAGACGAAGTGGTATAGACGTAGGTGTAAAGAAGGAGAGGGACGTCGAAAAGGTGACAGGCGATTTATTTCGATGCGTACTCTTTGCCCTCCATTACCGGGGATTTAGTCTAAATTTTTCCTGTCAGGAAAAGGGACAAACCTATCCTAACATTTCGAAAGTTTATTAGAGGTTGAAAAGTTAATGCCGTTTTCCCTCTGATTTTGCGTCAAAAGAGATTACTTTTCAAACTGACAATTACACTTACTTCCTCTTCTTCTTGTTCTTATTCTCGGGATTTCTAATAGATTGGAAGAAAATATTAGAAGGAATCCAAGGTTTAACTGAATGATGCTGGATTTTTTTAGAAAAATATGACATTTGATTGAGAATTGTAAAATCAAACTTCTTGGCTGAGAAATTAATACTTGAATACGAAAGAAAATCACAAATGTGAATACATATATGTATATTTTCCTATATAAAGGTTAGTCGCTGTCGTACTTAGCTCAAGACATACAATTTGTCCAAAATATACCACAATTCTCCGTCAACTAGCCCTCCAATTTAGGATGCTTTATGTGCCCTACCTCTATAAAAAATTGATATCACGAAATGTTGTGTATCGAATTTCAGTATATAAGGTTTTCAATCTTTCCATATATTGCAAGCATTGGTAAGAGTCAATAAAGTAAAGCAGTCCCTTTTTAAAAGTTTAAAAACGATAATCGTCCCCTATGAGGCGGAATATTTTCTCAAATTTAAATGAGAACACGTTTGAGATATAACCAATCCAATGAAAGAAAAATCATTAAAACCGTTTCACAATAGACAAGAAGAAATAACGTATACATTCAAAAAAAATAATAGAAATAAATAGAATAATAAAATTAACCACTTACAACAAGTGGTTTGTATTTAATTATGTTATTATTGAAAATGTTTTACAATCAATGCACTAGGAACTTTATTGGATTTAATAAAAATACAATTGAGTTGAGGAATTTGGTTAAAAATAAGATAAGCAATAGAAGGATGTTGTGATGATGACTTGTCCAAAAAATGTAGAAAAGTTGAGGCTAAGTTTTTTTTAATGTCGCCAATTTAAAAGTATTTCTCAACTTCAACTGGTTGTTTTCAACACGTCCTCGATTTTAGTAATTATAATTTCGAAACTATTGAAGGAAATGATGAAGAAAATTTTATTTTACAGTTAGTTTGAGGATAATATCTGCTGCTATTTCTGATAATTAATTTAGATTTTAGACTAATTAAAACGCAGTGAATTTCATTGAAGTTTGTACCTAACAATTCGAACACAGGCCTCACCTTCTTAAAGATTTTTTTGTAATTCTGATCTCGAAAAAAATTGTAAAGTTGAGCTGGTCACTATTACGTATAATAATTCAAAATACACATTTTCTTACAAAATTTTTATTATTTATTAAATATTAATATCCATATTTCTGGGCTTTGTAACATTATTTTTTCTGCCGCGCCCACCGTCCACGTTTCGCACCGCATACATCCTTAAAGTTTTGCGAAAATATTTACGTTTTTGAATAATATTATGTAGTGGCATGATGACTCTGTCGTCGTTAAATCAAACGTCTTGTAATTTAAAACATCTCTCAACTTCAACTAGTTGTTTTGAACACGTCCTGATTTTAGTAACTGTAAGTTCGAAACTATTGAAGGAAATGATGGNAAAATATAATCGTACAGTTTTCAAGAAGTCCTCATTTTCTAGTACATCTGGAATTTATTTGACACTTCCTTCAATACTTCCTCATTTATAACTTTCTCTATTCACGGTATCCTTATCATTCGCCTGTAACACCACATTTCGAACGCTTCTAACCTTTTCTTTTCTGCCGCGCCCACCGTCCACGTTTCGCACCGCATACATCCTTAAAGTTTTGCGAAAATATTTACGTTTTTGAATAATATTATGTAGTGGCATGATGACTCTGTCGTCGTTAAATCAAACGTCTTGTAATTTAAAACATCTCTCAACTTCAACTAGTTGTTTTGAACACGTCCTGATTTTAGTAACTGTAAGTTCGAAACTATTGAAGGAAATGATGGTCAAGCACAAAGAAAATTCTATTTTCCTTTTATTTGTAGCCTTTGATTAAGTATTATCCTCTTTTTTTTTGCAGAAAAACCTTGTCACTTAATCTGAATTCGTTTTTGTTGGCGGATCACGTTACTGGTTCGGACGTTTCGAAACAGTAAACGAAAAACAAAATAGTAATAATAACAATAGTGAGTTCCAGAGTCATTGCTATTTCAGGTCACGGGTATCGATTCTTCCCATTCGAAATTTATTTCGCGCAGAAAATTAACATACCCTACATCTATCTCTGCATTCATAGCCCACGTATTTGCATTTTTATAACTGTGCTGAAACTGCTGTGTTATCATTTTTACGTTATATAAAAGTATGCATACATGTATTTTTAGTTTAGTTCTTTTTTTTATTTTCAGATATGCAATCTCATAGCTTAACGTGTTTCAATTTAACCATTAAAAACCCTTTTTATGGTAGTGCATTTGGTAATTGTTATGCTGGATACATAACAAACATACTCTTTTTATATTTACTAGATAGATTATCTAGAATGCTACTATAAATTGCGATTAAAAAATATTAGTGTAATAAATTCCGAATTTCATATTATTTATCAAACTAAGCTTTCGCTACAAATAATGTCTCCCCTTTAATATTCACGCCGAATACGTGTAATTATCTATGCGGGTCCAATCCATGAAATCAACAACCTTTGCCGATTTTATGTAATAGGCAGTTATTTCACCAAATCAATTTGCATACAGCAACTTTAATAATTTATTTGCACAATTTTTAATTATAGATTCTTTTTTGTAAGCAATACCGATTACATGGCCACAGTAACTCACTTCGTTTATGTTGTCTTTTCCTACCGTAATCTTAATATTCTGTAAGGATTTAAATAAAAACATTTCTTGGATTACTTTTGGCTCATAAAGTTATGGTACGAATGTTTAATTTTCATTGTAATTTATTTAATAGTTATTCGGTAAAACTATTTTATTGAAATCAAGAAGCTATTTAATTTTAATAAATTATTTCTCATTCTTTTTAGATTTATTTAAAAACAACTTGTGGCAAAATTATTTGGAGTATAAATATAAAAAACAATGTAGCGTACCCCGTTTACGCACAAGTTAGATGTCGTATTTTCTATACCTACTAAAACTTAGTTCAATATGTTGTTACCATTATTTTTTCGATTGTGACGGTGACGTAAATGATATTTCTCAATAATTTAACTCATTTTCATATGTAAACGTATTTCATCCACACTATAGGTCGAAGAAAGGAGAAGTGCGATAAGCTTTCGGTCGGATTCGCGATACGGTGTATTAAAAGCCGAACTAGAAAGAACCGAGTCCAGTTCACCGTCATGTCTTGTCTCCTGTACGTGTTGAATGTTAACCAATTTATTTACACGTACGACTACAAAGTATTTGCAATTTTTATTCAAAAATATCGTTTGTTTATGCGGTAATTATTGACGCTTCTTCATCGCTGATCGTGAGTTAAATTAAACGATAATAAATTGTATCTAGAATGCTAGACTAGATGACTACCGCAATAACAATTAAATTCTACAGTGCTATTACACTCTAGACATCCACAGTACCTATCGCTGAAAGAACAAAGGAGATATTACAAAATGTCAAAACTATTAACAGGCAACTGGTAAGCTAAAATAATCTTTATTATATGTGAATAATATTTATTTACTAAGAATAAAAAATAGATACTACCCCTTATAATTATATTTCGTCTTACATCTTAAAAATTGAATAAATCTGCAGTTATTCAAAATTAACTACCTATGATATTTAAATTTAAATTGGCACACATTACCCATTGTAAAGAATTTTTTTGCTTATGTTATAATTAGATACATACGTTAAAAATAAAATCTATTTTGTTTGTTATTATTATGACATTGATAATGATTCAAATTATTTGACTTTATTTTTTGTGGTTTAAATGACATTTGAACTTTTATATATATTACATAAATTTACTTCACCAAATATTTCAACAAAAAATACGTTCAAAGCCCTTGCATTACACCCCAAAAATAAAACATCTTGACTTAGAAGTCATTGAAATTAACAAGAATAGTCTAAAATTAACATTACTTAACAACAAACTAAAACTAGACAAACATAAAAGTGGAATTTACCAAATAAATTGTAATCAATGCAATGCTATATTTACATAATATATATATAACATATAATAATGATTTGTTAGGCCGAAACTATAATTATCAAGATTGAATAAATATTTTTATATGTGATTTCCTAATTACAGAACTTTGAATAGTTTATAAAGGATACGTTTCTCATTACATCTCCTAACATTAGGTGCCAATGAAATTACACTGAGAAAAATATTGGTTCTGAGGTTGAAACAGCATAAAAACGAGCTTTTTATGCCGCAGGATTAATTTGCAGGAAAAGCTAAATGTTCGAAAGGTGACATTTTTAGTGGTATTTTGTAAATTTAATTCCTACATATGCCTACAACCTACATAACGTACAAACAGCTCCAGCGTGCCGATGTACTTTATTATCGCAATCTCTACCGTTAATCTGTAGGTATTTTTGTAATTTGTAACCACGTTTTTTAGCGAACTAATAATTAACTGCATTAATATAAAATTTGCGAATTGATTTTAAGCTCTAATTAAAAAGTAAATGTCGACAAATTTAACGATTTGGCAATAATGGTGAACTTTATGGTTTACTGCATGGAGCGTACAATTTATAAATGTGTCGATAGACTTTCCAGTTAGATAATTAATAGTTATCTTTTTTTATTTCAAAAATAACGATGCCAATTATTTTTATAGGAAAACAGAATACGAATATACAAACGTTTCGTAAGTAAGAAGTGAGAAATGTGTATATAATAAATATATAATAATGAGAGAGACTGTCAAAAAAACTGTTTAGCATCTTTGAACGACAGCCTCGAGTCGCTCATAGAGAGATCCTCATTTCGTATCCAGTCTCTGAACGAGAGACTCGAATCTCTGAACGAGAGACTCGAGTCGCTCATAGAGAGATCCTCATTTCGTATCCAGTCTCTGAACGAGAGACTCGAATCTCTGAACGAGAGACTCGAGTCGCTCATAGAGAGATCCTCATTTCGTATCCAGTCTCTGAACGAGAGACTCGAATCTCTGAACGAGAGACTCGAGTCGCTCATAGAGAGATCCTCATTTCGTATCC